GGTTTCCACATCCACGGGATAAACCACCTCCGGCTGCGGGCCGTCCGCCATCTCGTCCAGGTCGCTCGAGAGGGCGGAGTCGAGGTGGCGGTCCCCAGTCTCCTCGTTGAGGGCGTAGGGGTCGTTTTGTGTCACAGGTGCGTCGTCGGCCATGACAGGGGGTGGGGCTCCGAAAGGGCTGTTGTGAGAGGTAACACAGAGGGTGTAGGGGTGTGTGATGCGTGAGAGGTTGTGACTGGATGTGGGATGAGGGAAAGGGTAAGAGGGGAGAAGGAGAGAGGAGGGGGTGGGAACGTCGTGTGACAGCAGACCTTATTTGTGTCACCTATGCACACACATACATATATACATATACATAGATAGATAGATGAATGGATGGATGGATATTGAGATATGCACTACCTAATTGTAGGCAGAGGTTAGTTGTCGAAGGGTGAGATTTGGGGGTGCGGAGACCGGTATACCAAAGAAGTTACAAGTGTTTTAAAATTGTGCGAACCCATGCAGACAGGGATGGCAAACTCGCATGAAAATTGTGTAGAAATTCATCATCCCTTCCCTTCTTCTTTTTTGGATTCTTCTCTTTGCTATTTTTAACCCTGAAAAGATCAAACAAAGAGTTCATCAGCCTAAAATATATCGGATACTCTTTGTGATTAAACGATACTATGAGGAAAAGTCCGGAAAATGGGGAAAATCCTGCCCTGAGATAAGCCATAATAGCAATGGGAGTGAACTTTACTATTTCAAAAGATAGGCCTCTGTGAAGAAGAGTGTGTTCAAAGCATGGGAGGTGGGGTAGAAGGAATATAAACTGTAGATTTTCCTCCATTCTCTTTCTTTTACTTTGTAGCATTCTGTCGAGGAAACGCAGGGTTTTCGTCATTGCTTTGCCCCTTTCCCAGCGTCGCGAACCCTGGCGCGAGGGGTGGTGGTTTCCGCCGGTTATTCTTCAGCCCAAAGGCCTCCTTGAGTTCTCCCATCTCCAACGCGTAGCCGCTGGCTTTGTAGTAAAAATAATCCAACACGCTCTCGTTCTCTGGCGTCTCGCCTCGGTCGTGCATTTCGCTAATCGGCATGGTGGCGCGTTTGCCGAGGACGGCGGCCCCACGGGCGGCCTGGTCGAGGTTCGACTCCACCGGGTTTGTCCAGGCCCCGACGGAGGTTGGGTGGCTCGCGCGGAACGGGGCCGGGATGTTGACATCCCCGCGGGCCGCGTAGAGCTCCTTGTTCCCCTTAGGAAGGTACCCCAGGCGGACCTTGAGGGCTCGCTGGCGTTGGAGGGAGAGGCCGTCGTCCTTGGCCGCCCAGGCCGTCCCGCGGGCGAGCTGGGCGAGGTAGCGCCCCCGCTCCCGCGCCCCCCCGATCTCGCGCAGGTCGTCGAAGAAGATCCGCTTTTCCTCCGTGAGGCTGTAGAGGGCCGCGGCCCGGCGCAGGGCCTCCGGGGAGGGGTGCCGGACGGCGGTCTTCGGCGAGGGCCCCGTGGTGGGGTGGAGGTCGCAGAAGAGGGCGTCGGGGCCCGCGCGAGGGCGGCCCGCGCTGTGGAAGGCGCGGAGGGCCGTGCACTGGCGCCGGACCTCGTCGAGGATGCACTGCAGGACGGGAAAGCCCTCACGCGGGGTGCCGAAGTCGCTGAGGTGGATCCGCACGGTGTGGCGCTGCAGAAGGTGCTTGGCGATGCCGACGGCTTTGAAGCGAATCGCGTGCGGGTGGGTCCCGCCGCGGAAGGGGACCTCCACGCACGACCGCGTCGGGGGCGGCTGCACGCCGAGCTTTTGGAGTTTGAAGCGCAGCATCTCCCGGAGGTGCTCGCGGTGGTCGCCGATCCGGCACAGCGCGATCACACGGCGATCGCTCTTGTCGGTGTGGATCGACCCTATGCGAACCAAGTCGAGGGCCATCCCCTGCGCAAGCCGACGCGCCTCCTGCACGGGAATATCCACGTCCATCCGCATCCGCCGCACGGCCTCATCGTTGTCGTGGTTGGTTCCAGGGGGATTCGCATCCACGTCGTCAAACTCATACCTTTCATAGGGGTTGAAGGTGATTCGCTCGCTGCCATCACTCGGCGTGATTTCGCGGATGCGAACGTACGATTCTTGAATCATTTCGTTTATCGGATGGGCTTGAAAGTACAGCAAAACCTCTTTTCTCACACGATTGACGCTATACTCCACCTCACTTGTATCCATCGCTCCCTCCTGGAGCATCTCCATCTTGTATGATTCATCCTCATATTGCAGCTGGTCTTCTAGTCGTTTTCGATTTTCGTAATTTTCCCAATATTCCAACCCTCGCAGCTCCAACATTCCTTTTTCTGCAGGCCGTTGTTTGTACGCATCGTACTCAAACGTATCATCCTCGCCCTCTACGGTTTCCAGTACAGGCCGATAATCCTTCCGCGCATCAATGACAAGATGATGGCATGTGGAGGAATAATTTTGGTCGTCATTCGCATCGTTTTCGTTTTCTAGAGCATTAAAAACACTGCGGACGATGACGGGTTCTTCACTGGGTAGAGGAAAATGAGGGTTATCATGCGCCTCAAGATCATGGTGCTCGACTTCCGTCGGCTGCGGCTTTACCGAATCCAATTCCAACTCCCCGTCGTTATCGTTGCGAATTTTGCAATAATTAATTCCTTTGGCGTTTTCCCCAACTTTTGAACCCATTTCGGTGGCCTTTGCCTCTTGCTTTTCCCGGTACGCCTCCGCCGCCATGTGGTAGGCGGAGAGGTTTCGATTAAAGGCATCCCCGACAACCGTCTCTCGCGCTCGATTACGATCGACATCTTTAAAATGCTCAAACGAGGAGGAAGGCAACCATTGCATCCGCTTCCCAACCCGCCCGCCGCCGAATTCACTAAACACGGCATCGAGCGGCGGAAGATCCACCCCGCGTTGGTGAAACTCCCGCATAAAGTCCCGCTCGAGTCGATCCAAATCCCCCCCAAAGACCGTGGTCCCGGGGGTTACCGCAAAGCGCTTCTCGAGCTCCTGCTCCTGATGCCACGTTCGGGAGGCGGCTGGATCCCTTTCCGATCGGTCCTTCCTGCCCTCGCCCGGGATCAGCGCGAGGGGAAACATCGCCGCGCGGCGGGTCGAAGCGGCGGCGGCAGGGGCCGGCTACGTCAAGCCGCGCCTGACCGCGGGGGCCGACGGGGCCTTTCGAGTC